CAGGGGGCGGGGCAGGGGGCGGGGCGATGTGTGAAAGCTGTACTGACAGCAGTGGCAGCTGCATCAGCAGCAGTGACAGTATCAGTGCAACCAGCAGGCCTCACAGCGACAGTGTCGGCAACAGCAGTGTCAGTAATACACGGATTAGCAGGATTAGCAGGAACAAGATCAGCACTAACAGTAGCAGAAGCAGCAGTGTCAGAAGCAGCAGGGTTAGGAGTAGCAGGGGCTGTATTAGCAGTCACTGGCTCAGCAGTGGCAGGATTGGCAGTAGCAGTAACAGGATTAGCAGTAACAGGTTTAACAACAGTAACAGTAACAGCAGTAGCAGAATCAGCAGCAACTGTAGTAAAAGGATTAGCAGTGACAATGTCAGCAGTAACAGGATTAGCAGTGACAGTGTCCGTATTAGCAGGATTAGCTGTATCTGAAGGATTAATAGTAACAGGATCAATATAAGATGGATAAGATGTATCAGAACGATTAATAGTAACAGGATCAATATTAGCAGGATCAGCAGTCTCAGTATTAGCAGAATTAGCAGTCTCAGTATAAACAGGATTAGCAGTAGTATGATTGTTTGTCTGAGCTCGGCTTCACTAATGAGTCACAACGCCCCCAGTTTCGAGTGGACGAGTGTGCCCGCGCTGTGCCAGTCCCGTTACTGTGCCGAGGCTGGTTCTGTGGATGGCGAGGGTACAGTACCCGTGTGGGTACGGTACCGGAGGAACGGCATTACCCTCGAGTCACATTGAGGTCCAACACAGTTCCGTCAACCCACTTCATCTGGCCCTCCTGCTCGGTGTCGCTCAGCCCGATCCAGCGCTGGAGATGGGGGGAGAGCGTGGCTGCGAATTCCTGAGCACAGAGGAGCTGGGGGTCACCGGGGGTCAGCGGGGGTCTGAGATCTGCAGGCACACCTCTTCATCCCTCCCGCACGGCCTGCCTGATTGTCTTCCGTTCCCTCTCTCCTTAACAATCTCCTCCTTCCTCTCCCTCCATCCCTCCTTGTCCTTCTCTCTCTCTCTCTCTTCCTCCCATCCCTCCTCTGTCTCCCTGCCCCCCAGCCTCACCTGCTCTGCGGGGCTGTTGATGACGAGCAGCCTGGCGTTCAGAGACAGACAGGCCTCCCGCGCCTCCTCCCAGGTCCCCGTCTCCGTGGAGACCAGGTAGCAGTGCCTTCTGAACCTCGACCAGTTCGCAGGGCAGAGGGAGCAGCTGTACCCTGCCAGACACAGAAGACGAGTCAACAGTCCGGGACAAGGGGCACAGCACCGCTGTCTCCCCGTTCGCTGGCCTGATGCAGAATGTGGAGACACACGCTGCACGATCAGGGCCAGACAGCCATAGCAAGGGCAAGACTGCCCTTCCTGTCCACTCCACCCCAGAACTCAGATACAGCCAGCCCATTAACTGCTCTATTGCCCCTCTTGACTATTAGTCAGTTAAGAAGCCAGCTGTAGTACATTTCTGAAATGTAGCAGATTGGGGTGGCTGCAGGTTGTCTACGTCTGAGCTAGTGTATTTCTGGTTTTGCATGAATCTTTCAGGACTCTTTAGGTCTCAGAGCCTCTTCAAGGCAGTATAGGGCCAGGAGACCTCTGAGGAAAACCAGGCTGCTGCTGTAAGTGGTGCAGGTGGAACAGTAGGTGGTGCTCTCCCCACCGGCCCAGAGTTTCCAATCCAGGGCCCCAGCAGGGAGAGTGGGGACACTGTGCTGAAGGAGGTGCCTACTGATGCACATTAATGACCGCATGGCACTGGCCTGGCAGAGCAGGGCTGTACCTGACACTTTCTCCCCGGGTCGACTCAACTTGGGCAGCTGAGCAGATGGATCAGGGCGAGCTGGCCTGGCCGGGGGAATGAACTGGGTCGCCTCTCACACGCAAAATCATTTTGGATATTTCTGATCACAAGAAATGTCTACAACTGACAGAGGGCCTGTGAGAGAGAAGCCATGTTTGCTCTTCTGGGAAACAGAAGGAGTGACTGAGGCGAAATGGCTACTTTCTACGGCAGCCTCTCAGGGACATCTCAGCTCCACAGTCCAGTCAGGAATGTAGACTCCCTCAGAGGGCCTTTTAGCTCATCTAGCTTATCTACCATGCTGGTAGTTGATTGATCTGAGGATCATATCCAGCCAGCAAGGAAAGTTTCTTCAGCAAGGAAAGTTCTGATTACTACCATGTGTGTTGAAAGGGACAGGAGTCCACAGCACACTAACCTGGCCTGCTGTCCACAGGTGTGTTACCAGTTTCTCTAGGAGTCATCTGGCAAAACTGGCCCAGGACAGAAGAGTTCAGGAGGGCTGGAATACCTGCAGCACAGGTAAGAAACACTGTGAGTTTGATCACACAGCAGGGCTACAGGACAGGGGTAAAGATGAGAAACACTGTGATCACAGCAGGGCTACAGGACAGGTGTACAGGTGAGAAACACTGTGATCA